ATCTAAATGGCTATGTAAACAACTCCCACAAACAACAATTCTGAATACCCAAACAAACAAATCAACACCGAAATAAAGCGAAAGTGCAGGTGAGTTGCATAAGAATAAATGATAAATAAACCATAAACAAACTCGCTAATAGGCAATGAAATTAAGAAAGAAAGAAAACAACTACTGTTTTGGTGTGACTACATCTCTGACTGTAGGTGCGTTTTGGCACTCGATTCAAGCTGTCAAATTAACTTAAGATTGCTCTGACAGGAACTCACGTGGAGGAACCAGTCCTTGCAGCAACGGAATCGTAACAAGAACGGTGGGGCACGCGTTCTTCCGCAAACGAATCTTCCTACAGCTTGCAAAGGCGGTAGAGCCGAAGTGCTCGCTCCACAAACGACGCTGGCGCAGCTGGCTCATCGGCAAGCCGGGCAGGCTTCCAAAGTCCTGGCGATTTGCATACGCAATTCATCTCAATGCTCTAATGGAAAGATTGAGTTTCGAACGTTGACAAAAAAAAAGTTTGATATAGAGGTTCACGTGTCGTCTGTTGGAAACTGGAAGAATGAACACTCCGAGTTCTTTTGGAGAATTGTTACACCACTTCGCCGCGCTGTAGACTCCGTAATACGCCGTCATGAGGCACGCAACACACTCAGCAATATCTCTGTCAAATAAAAGACGTATTTCTCTAATTATTATACGCGCGCAGCAGCGTTGTACCACACTGCTAGTACTGCCGTAAAATCCGCACTTCCGATTTCAGCACGCGCGGAACGGTTTGAAAGCTTGGAGTGACGAGCGGGCTCAAACAAAAAAAAAAAAGACAAAAACAGTTGTTTCCCCTCGCTCTTACTGACTGGTCGGAAAAGCCCAGAGTGCTTCACTTTCGGTAACAAAGATCATATACACGTCGCCAGCGCTCAAGATCATAGCGGCGAATATAAGCATAACAGTCTGGTTGGAGTCGGTTGGGTGGACCTACAAATCTTCTCTTTGGATGGACGTACGAGAGAGAAGCTAGCGACGCGGCGCCCATATCGGCCCGACCTGGAACTCTGTTAGCTGCATTCAGCTGGTTATACTGTTTCATGCGTGTTTCCAAACAATCGCGCTTCTAAGAGGTAAACACAGCAGCTTTGCAGAGGCTCTTTCTGTGAAGAACTCTTCGGCTTTCTGATTTCAAAATAGTTTATATACAAAACTGAGCCCACAATTTTAAGAAACAGCAAGTCTATGAAAACATATTTTTTCTGTTCCTATATATTAAGAGCCCCACGTATCACTCGTAAAAGGTGTTCAAACTTCAAATGCTGCCATGCAGAAGAGGATATAATTTAAGTTTTTCTTTCATTGTTTGAGCGACCTCTTTCACACAGGCATAATAGAGCTTCAACGGATTGACGTCTCCAAACTATATTTGTTGAAGGGTTCTCTACGTATCAACAGCCGAAAACATTTACTCAGCTGTTTCCTTTGTTTCTATGGGAACAAAATGAAACATTACTGAGTTCCATGTGTGCCCGCCGATGGCAATGAAGACGTGATCCCGCCTCCAACGACAAGCAGCAACTGCCAACGAACAACGTCAGGCGCGTGCGGCATGCACGCCTAGCAGACGAAGTAACAAAGTATCGTTGTTCGCTCAAAAAGTAACTAAGCACATCACTCGTTTCTGAAAGTGTTAGTAATGCGCTACTTCCTTGTTACTCTGAAGGCGTCGTTCTTCTGAATCATTAGCTGCCTTGCGGTGTTTTGCGCCGTAAGAATTCCTCGCTCTTGATCTCATTAATGGTCATATGGTCAATTAATCTCATTCACGGTATGTTTATTGAAATATTATATGTATGAATTAGTGTTACCACGGCTTTAATCATAATTTATGCATGTGCGTTAAAACGCCACACTGGCGTGGAAACTACGGGGGCCTCCCAGCCTATTTGCCCCCGTGGGACCTACCTGGGTACCGCTTTATATGCTAACTGGAAAGGTACAGGTCGGCTCCTTTGATTATCGTGGTATGTAAGGGGATACAAATTATTGAATATTAGCGCTTTTGAATTTTCAGGTCCGCGTAAAGACGGACGTGTTTTGTTGTGGTGTCTGTTTCCTCCTCCTCCCATAAATACCAGTTGCGAGTGTGCGTCGTCCTCGAGGACGTCCCAGATGTCCTTGAGGTCGTCCTAGACATCGTCCTCGAGGTGATCCTCTAAGCCGTCCTCGAGGACGTCCTCTAAGCCGTCCTCAATGTCACCCCAAGAAGTCGTCTTCAAGTTAGTTCTAGAGGTCGTCCTAGAAGTCATCATTGAGGTTTTTCGGGAAGTCGTCTTAGGCGTCGACATTTTATGCATCGCCCTGAGGTCGTCCCAGAAGTTGTCCTTGAGGTCATCCTAGATGTCGTCCTCGAGGTCGGTGTAGAAGTCGTCCTTGGCCTCGTCCTAGACGTCGACATAGGCGTCGTCCTCTAGGCTTCGTCCTCGACGTCGTCCTGGAAGTCGTCCTTGAGTTCGTTCTAAAGGTCCTCCTTGAGGTTGTCCTAAACACCGAACTCTTGGCGCCGTCCTCGAGGTAGTCCTAGAAGTCGTCCTTGAGGGGGTCCTAGACGTTGTCCTCTAGGCATCGTCCTCGAGGTCGTCTTAGAAGTCGCACTTGAGGGGTTCTTAGACTTCGTCCTCTAGGCATCGTCCTAGATGTGAAGATAACATCTTCGCTAATCCTCCATTTTTACGTGAAGTGGAAGGGCTCTAGAATTTTTTTAGTTCTATTTGTCTCTCACATGCGTGTCACGCTGATTTCCTCTCCTTCGTACTCTGCACAAAGGAGAGGAAAGAGGGACACTTTAGCGCCAACACTCATAAGAACGCGTTTCAATTTCGCTCTATTGCCACTGAATATGGCACGTGGCAGTGCCAGGTTACGACTTTTTTTCAAAGGCATCTAGCTATCCCGCCTACGCTTTGCCGATCCTTCTATGGTTCAAAATTCTGAAATATCTTTGAAGACGGAGACTTACTGCAATCAAAGTGTTTTCAGTGTAGACGTCCTGGACCGATTCCATTTGCCTAGTCATCATACTTGGCTCACCTCAGTTCAATTCTGTATTAAGAATGACGGAGAACTATATTTACGAAATGATAGTGGTGTGTCCATAGAATCCTTTGTGGAGCTTTGGAAGTTTTTGTTTGAATTTTATTTTGGTGGCCTGTAAATACAACAGTCAGGGGTCTGCATTAGGCCGTGCGTAACTCCCGCTCTCAGTGATATTTTGTGTCAAGGGTAGATCAGGCCATCGAAGACTCTCTTAGAACCCTTCCCGTAAAGAAAGGTTTTTCCGCTAGGTCGATGATTTTCTAATTATGTGCTCTGAAAACACAGAAGACAATTTTGTAGACTATATTTTGGATGTCTTTGACAAATGCGATTGTTGTCTCAAATTCGCTTTTTAGAAACCTAAGGATGCTGTTTACAGTTTTTAGATTTCCCGTTGTCTCTTCATAATAATGATATGAGCTGATCTTTGTCTCCGGATCAAAAAGGTATCCTACACAATGCGACGTCACAGTCAAAATTTACAAAAAGGGGTATAGCTTTTTATATCCTAGGGTCGGCACTGGTGGTCATGTTTCCACCAAGTAAACGCAGCTCTCAAGCTCAATTGGAAATCCTAAAGACTAAGGATTTCCCCAGCAGGTTTTAACTGAGGTAATAGGATCCTTGAAAGGCAATGTTAAAAGGGGAGCAAGAAACATGGCCTAAGTTTGGAGAGGTCGCCCGGTGGTGGTTTCATACGATCGCAAAATGTCCTGCAATCTGAAAAATGTGGCGAATCGCTATAAAATTCTGATGGCGTTTTCAGCCCCTCCAGATGATGGCCAGGATTTGCTCTCAAGTGCGCTATAAATTAGAAAAGCGATCGGAACCCGGGTGCACGAAGCGACATCAGAAAAAATTCGTTCTCTGCACAGTAGGTGGTGTGTATAAATTACCCCTTGCGTGTGGTAAAGATTATATAGAACAGGCTTGCTGGTGCGTTAACAACGGCCTCCGAGAACACTACTGTTCCCATCATACCGTCTTAGCAGGGAACCTTCTACTGCATCGTCAGGACTGCCGATGCACACCGAAGTTTGAACAAGCGACAATTTTAAGAACATTTCCAGATCTGCCCACCAGGGAAAGAAGACGTTTCACTTAGCAAAAACAAGGGAGTGCTGACGTAGCAAAAAAATTAATAACTCTGCATGAGTAAAAGTGCTCTTTCTAGCAAGTGCATCTAACGATTAAGTGTCACCTGACCCTCTGATCTGCCCTGCACGTGTGCCTGCATAGTTTCTTTTTTTTTTTTTTAGGTTTGTTTAGTCTCTTGTCATCTTTTTAGATATTCATGTTGTGAAGGTATTGTTCTTCGTTATTTGTTTCCTTTCTTATGGAAGAACGTCGCTTTCAATTTTCTCTCATGAATATCAGTTGCGAATCAGCGCTTGTGCGTTCTATGTATCTATCTACATTTGTCGTCTCCTTCCTACGCTGTTTTTCATTATGTTGTTTTAATTTTGATTTGCTTTCCTACCCTTCCAATGTACTGGACTTTTTTTACACATAGCCCACGTATCATCAGCAGGCAACAAAAACATAGTTTTGTTTAGTAATGCCGCTTTTTGATGGCATATAATATTTTTTGTGGGACTTCGCCTTCGGTATGCTCCTTTGTTGTTTAAGAATGGCAAACTTATATTGTCCCAATAAACGCTGATTCCTTAGAAGGTGAATTTTTTATTGATTAACTACTCCAAATGGCCCCCAAAATAAAAGCCAAAGCCGAAAAGCCCAGCTCTACAGAAACATAAACATATGAAAAACGCGCAATAATGCTGTGGTGATTTTATTACATTTTTGCCTGTCTCGTTATACATCGTTAAAAACAAGTTATGACATCCTTTTGCCTTTTCAGGAGCACGCATTGAAACAAAGTTTTGAATAGGCTATTAAAATATATTTTTTTTCAGGTCATTATGAAGCTACCTAGGACGTACATGCTTCAATCAGCTTTTAATGTTTCTACATTGGACTGCGCTGTTCAAGTGTTCTACAATAAAACTTATCGTAAAAAGATATACACAAAATATAATTTAGTATATGCGTACAGTACCGGGAGATAGTAAGTACTAAACTCATTAATATTAGAAAACACTGTGTCATTCGCAAGAGAAAACAAATGTAAGACGTCTAACGTGGTTTGTTTTTCAGCCAGGATCTACCCTTATATGTAAGAGGCTTCGAGAACTACACAATCTTATTGGGATATCGGCCGGGTAAGTTAAGGCCTGCCCTGTAGTGCCTGAAAGTGTTTTAACCTCACGCGCGGTGGGAAAACAAACATCGTTCATATTTTTTTTTTGCCTATTACTTTCAACGTTTGAGTTCACATCGTTTTGCTTCGTTGCTGACGTGGTAATGCAATAATAGGGAGTTTTCGTAAACCGGCATGCTACCTTTTTTAAGCCCTCCGCAACGAAGAAGCTGCTACTGAGCATGCGCGCCGATGGCTTTGACTGTAGATTTCCGGCTATCGAGCGGGATGCTGAGAGCGTTGCGAGACGACGAAAATGATATACGAACACTCCCGATTGACATGGTATGCACATATCGTAGCACATGGTAAAAACCCAAAGAAATTGCAATTAAAAAAAAATTTCATATAACAGCATTGTACTTTTTTCCTTTGATCCTTTCTTTATGTGTTATTTCCTTTCATAACGTAGTGGGCCGATGCCTCTCGAAATTGCAAAGGAGCGCTTACACTGACACAAGTCGAGGTAGCATGGTTTCACAGGCTGCGTGCGTTATTTCCACCTTACGGTCGTGTTAGGGTCCCATCACTTATCATTAAAAAAAAAAAATCAATCCCCTTAGATTCTTCTGTCGTAACTCTCAGTGTTCAAGTTTCAAGAAGGAAACTTCGATACCCGGATGCTGCAAAAGACAGGTTTGGTCCGTCAACGTTAAGTATCGTATGAAGTTTTAAAATTGCAAGCGCTTAAAATACCGATTACGTAACAAATTATTTATTCACTTACAAATTTTTAGCTCACTATTGAGCCACAGGTGGAAATTTTATTTGCTGTCATATGCATCTACTTTCTAATTAAACACCAAGCATTTTGTCACAAGTGGAAGTTTCGTGCCTCAGGTTCGCAATAACGCAACAAAGTTTTTTACACCAAAGTATGTGTTAAAGTACGGAAAACTTAGTGACATCCCACTTTAAAAGTACGGTGATTTTAATGACTAGAGTAATGATACTAATCTTTTTTTTTCTAATTAAGCAGCCAAATAATTATCCCGTGTTTTTGGTATATATCAAGGGTGGCCGGAGTGACAAGGGGTTAGATACGCAGAGAAAACCACAAAAGCTCGGATAGCAGCTGGAAAAAGAAGGGGTGGGGCGGGCCACTTTTAACAACAAAATATATAGAGCGACTATCCCTTTTCAGAGGGCACAGGTATATGGCCGACTAAAGCAAATAACAGCAGGCAGTAGAACGTTTCTGCAGCCGCTAAATAAAAATGAACGCATGGTTCGCTGCCGTCCACTGACCTGACGACCATTATGTGTATACTGCTCGAAATTATTTCTAGAGCAGTAAAGGAAACAGGTTAACTGGACACATCTATGTGCCAAAAAGCAATCTAGCTGTTTGTCTGTAGTTTTGTACAAAGTTGCCAAGACTGCGTTTTTTTTTAGTTCCAATAGTTTTTTTGTTTTTTTGTTTTGTTTAGGGGACACAAGAGGGAAAGGGGCCCACTTTTGAGAGAGCCGCGATCCACGCTTTGTCTCGCGAAGAGCAGCATGCAGCTCGCGAACCGCAGTTTGTACACTCCTGGTTTATATTAGAATAGAATAGAATAGTTTTATTTTAATACATACATTTTCAAAAGGTACTCAAATCAAATAGGACGTTTTGAGGGATTTATACAGCGTAAGGTTCGTCTGCCAGTAGGGCCGACACTGGTTCACACTGTGGATGAGCAATTTACCCAGTGCAGTACAACCGCTAGCCTGGGGTCTTTAATGTGCACCACGGAGTAGTGATACACGACCGCACGCCGGTACGATGCTCATCCAGATCGAAACGGGCAGGGGTGGGGCTCGAACCCAAGATCCCTGGGTTCTGCAGCGCGAGCTTTCGCTCCACGCGCGTCGAGCTGGGTGTGCGCTTCAGCCCACTCGGCCACCGATCCCCCATTCAAAAGGTACACTCTTAGCAAAAAGGGTATGGATAGTCCTCCCTTAGGGGAGGAACGGTCTTGTAACCTATGTTCCTTTAGAAAGGGAGAAACTTTCGTCCCTGAAACAGGGGAGCAGAGCTCCTCCGTCGCTTGCATCTCAACATGGCGGCCCCGAATCGAGCAAATCGAGCCCAATAAGGCTTGACGAGGACGCTACGTCTCTTGTACGGGACGAGAGCAGCAGCAAATGAAAGCGTAACACGAGCTTTCCGCAAACTGTGTTTATTTCCTAAGCCAGATTCCCCCACAGGTACAGAAACTTGCGTTTCGAAAGCAGTTACTCAGTCTTCTCGTCGACAGCACTGCGATGTTAAACGGAGACAACCGATACCCAGTTACTTCGAGCACTTTGCGTCTTACCTTTGGTGTTCCTCGAGTCACAATTCCTTCGTCAACCGCACATCACGGAGAAGGGCAAACTCAATCCGCGAAACCAAAAGCCGCTCTCGAAAGAACAAACTCGAAGCCGCTGTTTATCGCGTAGCGTGAAAGAAGATTAAATCGCTAGCCACCAGATGGCGGGGTCACGCAGAGTAATTGCAAGTGGCTAGGTGGCGCTAGGTGCCGCCCAACTCATGTTCTAAAAAAAAAAAAAAAAAAAAAAAATTTGCTTCTTTCAGGTTACTACTGCGCTTGGGGATCCTCTACTATACACACATTACGCATATTTCAGGCATCAGGTGAACATACATTGAGCACAAACACGGCACACACAAATATCAATATATCAGGACACCACCCTAACCCGAACACTACACCCGTGCTCTGCGTTTCCGTCTTTTATACTGGTCGTTTTGAACGAACGGAACTTTTCGGTGACTCCCTAAGCAATAAAAAATATTCCCAGCATGTTGATTTTTTCCCAGCAATGTCATACCTCTGAGAGTATTTTGAATGGCTCAGGGGATGAATCTCTTATTAAAAAGTAAACGCTCGATCATGCCGTAATTATTTGAAAGCCAATAAATCAAGCCGCTCGAATACGGTTCGAAGCGTTCGAAGCCATGAGTTTGTCTCCCCACACGGCACGTCGTAGCCTGTATTTCTATTGGTTTTTCTATTTGTGCTGTTCACGCAAAGCTGCAATTGCCGTCTTGAATTAATCTCTGTAGATCGGATATTCACTCAGCTGGAAGTGATGCTTCACGGGCTGAGAAATCGCTTTTCGATCAATTTGAACGCAGTCAAAGCCGCGACTTGCGGCAGGTGTTAAGTGTACGGAGCTACGCCGCTACGCCGTGGCGAGCCCGAAAACTTCTAGCCCTCATCCCAGCGCGCCACGGAGGGCAGATTCTCCAGGAACCGTAGTATATTTAAACAGCGAAATAAAGGGTAGCTTTTTTTTTTTCGATTTTACTTACTATTGTTTTTTTAATGCCGAAATTCCATACTGTAAATATACGTACTTTCCGTCACGATTTCGTACTGTTCAGTCCTTGCCCCAGAGCGGAATCGCTCTCGGGGACGAGACAATTCCGACAGTCACATTGGCCACTGTACGATAGGAGCTTCTACTGTTCAGACCAGCGTTCCAACATGACTCTCCGCATGTTGATCGATTGCACGTAATCCCTCAAGTGGTATTAAACTTTTTAATGTAAAGCGGAACGTCAACCTGCGACACCCCGCCCCCTCCAATTACGGCTTGACCAGCGGCATCAATGCCCAACACTTTACGATCTCATCTTCTTGTTACACCACTGATACGCGAACACACGGTCACATCGATAATTCCAGTGTTCTGTTCACAACCCACAACACTGCCATCATGATGTTGCAGCTATGTTGCTGACACGCACAAACGCAGAACCACGTTGAACGCCGGTTGCACTCGGCATCGGAAAACAGAACAGAACTCAGTGGGGAAGGCACCCAGGCAGCCGGCAGCAAAACCTGCCTGTCTTGGACGCAGTTCCTGCGGTTTCCATAACGTCAAAAAGTCGACACAGTTCCGCGTGGTTTCGCTACTGTAGCACGGTAGTTCCGTGCCGCGCAAGCGCGCAAGTCCCGCAATCCGGAGACGGCCATCCCCCAGTGTACGTGGCGCTGCTGGCACTGCTCCGGAACTTCGCTGTTTCTAGCGGCTTCGTTCGCTCGTTTGATAAAATTAGTGATAAAAACGTCAATGAAACCGAAATGTTCCGCACGTGTAGACTAGAAGACGGAATTACAGGCGTCCTTTACTGCCACTGAAGCTCAATCAACTCAACAGCTATTTAATAAACAACGTGGGCGACCTGCTCGAAAAACGAAACCGAAAGACGATGAGTCGGGAGGGCGAAAGCTTTCTCCCGTCTGCCTGGAGGAGAAAAACGTTTCGTTCCTCCCCTTTTCTCGTGTCCGCTTGGGGGCGCGTCGGTAGGAGGGAGGAAGACGCGCCGTTGCTACTTCTTTCCTCCATTTTTTCTTAGAGTGTACTATCGGGGAAAAATGAAATGCGAACGGAGGAGCGCGTGGCTCGCAATACAGGCTGCGCCGCCTGGAAGTGAGCCTAGGAGCGAGGGTGCGTGGCCTACTCCGACGTGTTCACGCCCCACCCTCTACGCTCCCCAAGCTTCAGCAGTGCGCCTCTTAGTGCGCTGAAGGCTATCACCGCTATCTTTGCTGGCTCAGCGCGGGCGGTGCAAAGAAGCTCGCCGCACTCGCCGCGCAGGCAAAGATAGCGGTGACAGCTTTCAGCGCACTGAGAGGCGCACTGCCGAAGCTGGGAGAGCGGCAATCGAGAGGCGTGAACACATCGAAGTAGGCCACGCACCCTCGCCCCTAGGTTCACTTCGAGGCGGCTCAGAGCCTGTACCGCGAGCCACGCGCTCCTCTGTTCGCATTTCATTTTTCCCCGATAGTACAATGATGAGCCAGTGTAAGCCTCAAGGGCTTGTGTACCTGGCTCGCAAAAGCGGGTAGCAAATTCACTATGTGTAACCATGGCCGGACTGGAAGCGCGCGCTCTCTTTCCCTTCTTACGGACTTTGCAGTCTCTCGGGAGTCAATTGCATTTTGTCTTTGTATGTAGTTCACTTGC